ACAGGTTCTCTCCTATGTGCCCCAAATAACCCCCCAGAGCAACAGTTAGCAGAATGGTGGCATTGAAAAAGGACAGAGCCCCTGGGAGTGTTTCCTTGTGTTTCTGTATTTCCTCCAGGCAGCTCTGTTCATGTCCTTGTGACACAAGTGCCACTGCAGTGCCAGCAGCAGCCTTCAAACACACATTCTGCTGCTTTTAGTAAGAGGCTTTGATGGGAATGAGGGATGAAAACAGATTTTTCTGAGAAACTTTAACCTCCTATGACTCCATCTGTTAATTGTCAATGTAGTTTTATTAATTACTAAATTCTCCCTTTTCCTCCTTTTTTCTTTAAAGATAAGCTTTTTTAAAATGGGTTCAGAAAATCTTACTGAGCAACTGGAAGAATTTTTGACCAATATTGGCACAAGTGTACAGAAGTAAGTTGGCTTTGTTGAATTTTGAACTTTTATGGAGATTATTTTTTTCTGTTTCTACTTATTAATAAATTATCTTTGTTAATAACACGTTTTTTATCTTAGTGTTCGCAGGGAGATGGATTGTGAAGTAGAAAACATGCAACAAACTATAGAGGACTTGGAAGTAGCCAGTGATCCACTGTATTTGCCTGATCCTGATCCTACCAAATTTCCTGCCCATAGGAATCTGACACGGAAAGCTGGCTATCTCAATGCAAGAAAGTAAGAGTAACTTGTTATTTAAAAATCCCAGAGTATTTAATTTTGGGAAAGGAAAGCTAAAGAAGCTGGAAATTTTTCTTAGATGTTAGCTATGCTGATTTTATGCATTTAGTTGAATAAGTCACATAAGAGCTATTTTGTTTCTTTCTGTGGACTTCTTCACCTAGTTAGTATTAAATTATCATTGTTACACTGACATAATGTCATTCAGGTGCAAAGCATAATTAACCTGATTTTAGTCTAATTTTGCCTGAATTTTCACAGTTTAAAAAACAAAAGGTTTGAGAGTATAATTTCTCCGCATCCTAACTGGGAAGTAACAAGATTCCATCTATCAGGATTGTTCTGGAAGTGTCTGTTAAAGCTTTGGGATTCAAATTACTAATAAAACATTGTAATTTTGATCTAAACAAAGCAAAGCATTCTGTTAACCAAAATACCCTTGGAAGGAGCTTCTGGATTCCATGCAGCAGTGGTTCCTTGTCCACAGGAGGGAGCTGTGCCTCTAAGGAATTCCCACAGCTGTTTTCAGAGCTATTAAAAATAAGTTGTAACATTTAAAATTTTTAACTGTAACTTTTACAGTAAGCTCCAAGGAATTTTTTTTTAAAAAAGATTGATTACTTTTACAACAGTTAAAAACCTTACTGAATGAGGCATTAATTTCTGTATTAGAACACAATTACAGCAACTAATATTAGAGTGTCTGAGCAAAAAGGGAGGCTAACTGAGGACTTCTTTTTATCTTTTAGTAAGACAGGGCTGGTGTCTTCCAGTTGGGAGAGGCAGTTTTACTTCACTCAAGGTGGAAATCTGATGAGCCAGGCAAGAGGAGATGTGGCTGGGGGACTTGTCATGGACATAGACAATTGCTCTGTGATGGCTGTGGACTGTGAGGACAGACGGTACTGCTTCCAGATCACATCTTTTGATGGCAAAAAGTGAGTGCTCTTACATTGCTGGTTCTTGTAAGAAATACTGGACTCACTAATTAGGAAAAGAAAGGTGTGTTTGATGTGTTCTGTGGATATTTAGAAGCAAAATCTGGGATATCCTTTTAACTGTGTTAACTGGATTTTTGTTTATAAGCGCTATAATGTAGCTGAGTAGTATCTCAAAATAAGATTATGGTAATTAGTTGACAATCACATATTATTGCATTTTGTGAATGCTTAAGTATTACATGGACACAATTAGAATTGTGTGCCTTTTCTGTTTCCTGTTGAAAGGAAAGCATAGGTTCTTCCCCATCCTAATTAAACATTGACTGCACTCAGCACAAACAATCTTCAGCATTTCATAAATTGCTGTTTGAAGTGTAAATATGAAAATGTAATTTCTTGGCTGACTGTATTTGTGAGGCATTTTACATACACAAAATTGTGTTTTTCATTCTCTTCTTTCAGGTCTTCAATCTTACAGGCAGAAAGTAAAAAAGATTATGAAGAGGTAAGCTTATAGGAGGTGTGCGTGGAGCCCAGTGATTTTCTGCTCCACAGAAAGAATACATTCCTAACCATAGCTGGATACTGCATTTTTTTTTTTCTGTTTTTACTTACTTAGTAATAAATTATCTTTGTTAGTAGCACCTTGTTTATCTTAGTCTTCCTGTTAGCTTCCTCCTTCAGATAAAAGTTGAAAAGTCAGGAACAGGAGCAAATGGTTTTCCAGAGCAGAGAGAAAGCAGATTCTAGCTTGCAGATGCAAGAAATGAGCAAATTCCACAAAAGCCAAATTGAATTTTTATAATGTTGTGAGGAAACAATGTCATCTGCAGTACAGAATAAAAAAGAACAGAGAATCCTGATGAGTTTTTTTAAAACTCCTTAGAGCTGTAAGTTAAGCTTTCTTTAGTTTTAGTATGACTAAAATAATTTTTGTGAGTAAAATCTTAAAGTGTAGGGTGCAGTATGCAGGTGGCAGTGAATTTAATGACAAGCTGGGTGTGCAGAATATGTGGCTTCCTGAATTTACAAAGAAAGTAAAAAAGTGCTGAAACAGCAGCTCAGGTATTCAATCAAGAGTGTTTAGAAAACACAACAGATTAATTTGTTTTCTTTTTTCTTCCTCTTTTCCAGTGGATATGCACCATAAACAACATATCTAAGCAGATATATCTAAGTGAAAACCCTGAGGTAACTCTACTAAAATTTATAATTATGAGTAATATGTGAACATTTGTGTTTATAGAGTGAGTTCATATTGATACAAAATTACATAACAATTTCTGCTTACTAAATTAGGGGAATTGGCCCAATAAAAACTGTTTTATAACAGAACATGTATCTTGTATATGAAGTGTGTCTTCATGGGTTTTAGCTCAAAGTTGAGGGCTGCATTTCTCAAATGAGATTTTTCTTTTGGTTTTCCTGGCTACATTTGCTTTTTTTGCCAGAGTTATCATTGGAGCTTTTCTCTATTGCTTCCTTTTATTAACATTGGCAGTATTTTAAAGCCAATGTGTTCATTTAAATTGAGAAAGTTAACATCAGGTTATGTGTTTGAAGAAAAATTGCAAGAAAATGCTGCAAGTGTGTTGGTGAAAATTTTAAAATGCAAGATTCTCATGAAGGGTTGAAGGGTTGAGTTTATAACTTTTCCCAGTTGCATATAAAGAAAATCTGAAAGCATATTTTGAGAAAATTGTTTTCAGTTATTGTTTCCCATCTCTGCTGCAGGAGATTGCTGCCCGTGTGAACCAGTCAGCTCTGGAGGCTGTCACTCCTTCTCCTTCCTTTCAGCAGAGGCACGAGAGCATGAGGCCAGCTGTGTAAGTGAAGCAGCCAGGGGGCATTTGAGGTGCACATATATAAAGAAAATCCTGGGTAAAGTTTCAGGGGGAAAAAAAAAAGCCTAACAAACCTACAGATATTTTTGTGATCAGAACTAAATCTTTGATAGGCCAGAGGAACATTTCCTGAACACACCTTTCACTGCTGAAGCACTGCTGAGCATCCGTTGTTACAAGTAATCCCAGTGCCAGCTGGTGGACACTTTGGCTGGTTTCATCATATCTGTTTTGTTGTGTGACTTCATGATGAGATTTTTCTTCATGTGTCCAATTCCTGGAAGCAGACCTCAGATTGTGTTATACTTAATGTGTGATTATATATTGATGTTAAATCAATCTGATGCAATTATTAATGGAAGTAGTAACTTTAACTTAAATGTGACTAGGTTCACAGATTTGTTTGCTATACCCCAAGCTTCAGGTTTTTAGTTTTTGTTTAGTTTTGCATCTAAGGCCTGGAATATTGTATTGGTGTCCCCTGTTTAATTCATTATCAACCCACCTGAACTCATACTCTAATTTGCCTTTTGGTTTTGTTGTAGGCAATCTCGTCCTCCTGCAGCTCGCACCAGCAGCACAGGGTCACTGGGGTCTGACTCAACAGCTCTCTCAGCACTTTCCTTGGATTCCCTTGTTGCCCCTGACACTCCCATCCAATTTGACATAATATCTCCAGTCAGTGAAGATCTGCCTGGCCAAGCAAAGTCATCAGGGCAATCGGGCAGGTAGGAAATGTAGGGAGAAGGAAAGAAATCCCTAAAGTTAATGTTACTGATTCAAAAACCAATGAACAAGAAAACCATTTAAGATGCAGCTCCAGCACACACATTGCCTTTTTCCTGACTGATGTCACAAATTTTGCAGTGCCCAGTGGAGCAAAACAATTTGTTAAACTGTTAGATGGAATTGTAAAAAAAAAGGCTTAATTACATCACTAGAGTCAAGGTGTAGTTTTCTGTTTTGCAGCAGCTTTTCTTGCTTTAACAGCCAATGCTTTTATTTACTGATTTATTTTCAACTTTTGGTTTCACAAGGTATTTTCCTTTCCTATTGCTTGCTTACCCAGCAGCTTGGGTTATTTCCTCTTGGAAAATCAAGAGAAATTTGGTAGCCCTGCCTCCAGGTGATGATGGCATACGATGACACTCCTCTTAAGCTGAAAGGTGAGTGAAAATGGTCTAGGCTTCTAGAGTAATTTCACATACAGACAAGTTAAAATCATCTGAAGAGTTCATCCAAAACATTAAAGCATTTTCTCCTACTTGTTATTATATTTGAGTGGGAGATGTACTAAAAACCAAAGACCTGTAAATCATCACTGCATTTCTAGATCTATATCTATAGAATTCAGATATGAACAAAATGTATTTGCAGATCCAGCTGCTCTTAACAACGACAGCCAAAGACATGAAAACTAATTTATGTGATTCTTGTCACAAAAATGTGTTATGTCTCCCTGCCTCTAGAAAATATTTGAATTTTGAATTGCATCTCACAGATTTAAAGAGTTGAAATATATACACTACTATTTTTTCCTTTTTTCCACAGTTTTCTTTTTATTGTTGCTTGGTATAGCAGGATAAGCAGGTGGCCAGCTAGATCCTTCAGGATACACTGATTTGAAATAGACTTGAACTGTATTGCAGGAAGTGGAAAGTTTAAGACTTAGCTGAACTCCTGTGGTAGCCTGGTCTAGAGCAGGGTGCCAGTAACACCAAGGCTGTGGATTCAATCCCTGTGTGGGCCATTCACTGGAGAGTTGGACTCAGTGATCCTTGGGGGTCCCTTCCAACTCAGAATATTCTGTGATGTCATCAGTTATAATATTTTTCATAGCAGAAATGATAGAGTTGAGCTCACTGTTTTCAATTAGCCATGGCCTCCAATAAAGAACTGCAGAGTTTGTACAGATAGGTAATGTTTGATATTAAAAAAAGTAGTACTTTCTTGGTTTCTGATACTGATGACATATATTTAAATTTTATTTTTGCCTTTTGAGAGATCCTGTGAGATTCTGCATTTACTGTTCCAATTAATATTAAACAACAAGAAAAATCTGAGCAATAGAAGATGCTGGTAGAAAGAATTTGCTTTTACTATAATTACACAGGTCAGCCTTTAATGAGATGGTTCTTGATTGAGTCCAGATTATCTAAACATTGTAGCAATGCCATGTTGGCTTCAATCTAGAAAAATTTTATTACTTCAAACTAGATATCTCTTAGTTAAAACATTTCTGATAATTAATAAAATAAACTGGCAGTCAGGATGTGTAACTGAACAATTTTTTTTCTCATAGTCCTGAAATTTGTTTTTAGCACACTAATTATCAAGGTAACACTTTCATCAATCCCATAAAAAACCTAATTTGAACTATATTGAACCCTTGCCAATAGCTTTTCAGCTACCAATCAGCCAGAGAGAATGGGTAATTTCCTCTACAAATTTTAAATAAAATGTCCCCATTTCCTGTGCTTATTCCCTTACTCTTTTTGAAAAATGCAGACTTGGAAGCCTAGAGTATTTTCACTTTTCTCTGTAACTGATAGTAATACTGTCTCTGAGAGCCAGAAATAGCCACATTTCTCTTGACTCTCTAGGAGTAAAAGCCCAGTGATGTTTTGAGAAAGCTGCATTTGAAACAAACCCAGGGCCTTCTCTTGAGTAAGTAATTCAGCACCTTGACAGTGGTGAGAAGTGGGTGCTCTTATGGAGTACTGAAAGGGCCTGGTTTTTGGCTGTGCTTCCTGAAGCTGTACTCTGAAATTTCATCCCCTGAAACTATTCCTTTTCAAACATTACCAAGGTTTTGGTTTGGTCTTAATTCAAATATTAAAAAAAAAAAAAAAAAGTGAGCAAAACTTTCTATGGCAGCAATAGAACAATAATAACTGGTATTCTCCCCATAATGTGGACCCTCAAATACAGCAAGCTATGTCTCACTCCTGATAGAATTGCTTCTCCTTATGGTTCATGATACATTATTCCTCCAGATGACAAGTTTGTGAACTCACTACATGTTGGTATTTGACACAGCATGAGACTACTGCACTGTCCATAATGGTTCTGTAATCTGACTCCTGCTTTAATGTTTTCATTTTTTGATAGACGCACAAATCCTTTTGGTGAATCTGGAGGCTCAAAACCTGAAACAGAAGGTAAAACAAAATTTCACTTCAATGCAAAATAAAAATAAGTTTTGACAATTATAGTTCTGTTTTCACCTCTAGCTTCTCTCTTCTAATTTAACACCAGTTTTAAAATGCTTAATTACATTGCAAGGTATTTGATAAGTTAAATCAAATTGATGTCTGAAAATCTGCTTTAAAAATGATTCATTGCATCTTTTGTATTCATTAACAAAATGCAGAGATGTGTGGTGTGCTGTGTAGTAACTGCACCTCTGATTGCTAAGTAGGAGCAATCTTTCCAAGTTAAGAGGAGCTTGGAGTTTTCCTGACTGCAGTCCACCTTTGGTTTTGAATGGGAAACACAAAATGGAGTTTGTTTTTTTCATTACTTTTCTTTTTTCTTAGATTCAATTCTTCATCAGTTATTTATTGTAAGATTTCTTGGCTCCATGGAAGTGAGGTCTGATGAAAGCCCAGATGTTGTTTATGAAACGATGCGTCAGATACTCGCAGCTCGCGCCATCCACAACGTTTTCAGGATGACAGAGTCACACTTGTTAGTCACTTGTGACTGTTTAAAGTAAGTTTGCTTCCTGACTTCTACTGATGCTTATTTACAGAATGATCTTCTTTCACTTTGGTAAAATTTACTTTCTGGTTTGTCTTTAAAAACAAATTTTTAGGTTAATTGATCCACAGACACAAGTTACAAGACTACGAGTAAGTAACTTTCCATTTTAAGATAAATACGCAGCAATGTAATTCTTTTACTTTAAAAATACTATTATTAGATGATAGCAAAAATCACTGATAGCATGAGATTTCCAGCCAGATTTCCAGTGCTATTAGGAAACCAATGCAGACATTTAGAAACACTTGCAAATCAGGTTTAGGGGAGTGATTTCAATAGGTCAAATTGGCTTTTGAGATTGCCTTCTCCCTGTCATCTGAAAGGGTAAAATAGTAAAGAGAGAACATTAATGATGGAGTCACATTAGTTCTGAAGTCCAGGAGGGTATGTTTGGCTTGTTTGCTCTTTGGCTTCTCTGTTTTGTTTTTAATGTTTTGACATTAAGTTCAAAAATGCTCCAAAGCTGTCACCTTTTACAAGTGAGGCACATCAGCTGAGGGTATGTTCCATATACTAAATGCACACATCTAATTCTAGGAAAACTCATCCTTTCAGTTCATAGCAGCTGTGGTAGGGACTCTCAGAATTTTAAAGTTTATTGTTTAATGAGTCTTAAAAAGAGAATTTGAAGTCCAACCTATTTTAGGAATAAGAATGCAAAATAGTTTTCTTGTAACAAACGAATGAGGGTATGGGTTGGGGTTTGTTTTCTTGCTTATATAATTAGGAGAATTGAGCTAATTGCAATAAAGGTTTTTGAGAAGTAGTGCCTTTACATGAAAGTAAATATTGAAAGCTTAGTCACAAATGTAGTGATAATGAATGATTACAACAAAATAAAACAGGAGTGTATCCACTTTTAGGAAGATTACTGACTCCACTGCAAATGTAGTCCCTTTTCCTTACATGGAGTGTGTTTTTTGACATTTGCTTGTCTTTGGAATAATCGAGTCCTTGCTGTCCGATCTGTTTGTGTTACATAATTACATTTGGTCGGGTAACTTCTTGTGCTGTGGTTGTGCATTGATTAATGTGCAGTGTATTGAAACCTCGTGTGGCAAACATTTGGAATCAGTTTTAATCTCTGCCTGTCTGATCCTTTTGGCAGTTTCCTTTGCCCAGTGTAGTACTGTATGCTACACACCAGGAGAATAAGCGCCTGTTTGGATTTGTGCTCAGAACCTCAGGAGGGAGAGTGGAGAGCCGCCAGACTTCCATCTGCTATATATTTGAATCAAATAATGAAGGGGAAAAGGTATTGGTGATGGTTGTGACTTGTATCAGTTGTGAATATGGGTTCCAAGATGCTAGATCCATTCAAGCTGTCTAAGGCATTTTTTAGGTACTGAGAAAGTTAAACCTGTCATTTTAAGTGCCTGCCAATGCTTTAATGTGCTGTTGTATTTAATTTGGGATGCTGGCTTAAATTTAAAGGCATTTTTAATTATTTCCGTCTGTTTTGTGTTTAGATTTGTGACTCTGTTGGATTGGCCAAACAGATAGCTTTACATGCAGAACTGGTAAGAACCTTTTCGGGGCAAAGGATGATGGGGAATGAAAGGAAGGGGATATATTTAAATATGTGTAATAGATTGTATTCTGCAAGATGCCTCTAGATCAGCAATACTGTTGTATATTTTAAGGGACCTTTTTCCTAGAATTTAAGACTGACCAATATTTACTGTAGAACAATATTCAATATAGGATTAATTTTGCTACTTTTAACAACCATACCAGTCCTTTAAAAGTAGAATATTCAAAACAGAAAAATCACAGTCTTGAGCAAGCTCATATCAGTCAGTAGTGTCTCAAAACATCTCAGGCTGTTGTTACTGACTTTATTTACATTTTTGCTCTTTAGGATCGAAAAGCCTCAGAAAAGCAGAAGGAAATAGATAGAGTGAAAGAGAAACAGCAAAAAGAACTGAATAAACAAAAGCAAATTGAGAAGGTACCTTTTGTCATTATTTCTTAATATTAGGTTTTTTCTACTTACTTTCTTTTGCAGATTTGTCCAAAGCTGTCCACTGATAGTATTGATAGATCATGTAGAAATCATAATTATGGTATCCTGTGTCCATTGCAGATGGCTTAAAGGGTAATACTCTTTTTCTGATTTCCCAACCCCCCTTCTGAACTTAGGACTTGGAGGAGCAGAGCCGGTTGATAGCAGCTTCCAGCAGATCCAACCAGAGCAGCACAGAAGGACAGTTTGTAGTCCTTAGCAGCAGCCAGTCAGAAGACAGTGATTTAGGAGAAGATGGAAAGAAGAAGAGAGAATCTGAAGCCTAACGTTGTCTGCTTCATTAAAATTGGAATCATTACTATATCTGGTGAAATGGCACAAATTCTACAAGAGGTGAAATGTAGGTGGAGGGTCTGTCATGTTCTAGAAAAGACTTCACAATATATAGACCCTATTATGCCTTGATTTTTCTTTCTCAGTTAAGTGATTTCTATTTCCTGCCAGTGTAATTTCTCTTGTATGCCAGATGAAGCACGGTGATGCTGCCATTTATTACAAACATATGTTTTCTCAAGGCTTCTCTGCAGTATGGGAAAAATGTGGGTGTTTTCCCCACTTAACCTCTGTGCAATTGACTGCTTTGGAAGCAAAACTGAAAACTCAAAAAACCAAAAAAACCCAAACATTGAAATTTGTTCTTTACACTGCAGTAGGGAGAACACCTTGCTGGAAACAAAAATGGATGTCCAAATAAGACAGTGCTAGCTTTACCCAGTTTGTTACACATACCTGTTCTTAGACTTAGAAAGAAGGATCCCCTGTAACATCAGTGAGATGTGCAATAGTTCTAAACAGAAGGATCTTTTTTGTTTCATTTTGCACAGTATGATACTGTCTTGATTTCCTTTTTATTTTTTTTTTTTTGGTGATTACAATGCCAAAAAAACTTATTTCAACAGGAGAAAAAGATACTGTCAGACCTGGATAAGAGCTGATGAGATGCAGTTGAACTTTGTTGCATGAGGAAAAGCATTCCTCATCAAATGATAAGAGCTGTGTATATAGCCTTGTAGCACAAGTGCCATGTTCTTGGTTTTTCCCCAGTACTTGGAACAAAAAGCTGTAAACCTTTGAGTTCAATTTTATAAAACGTGCTTAGAGTTGCAGGAACATCTTGAATTCCATCATATCAAAATCTTCTGCATATGTAAATGCCTTGCTGCTAGTACACTACATCTACTGGAAATGAGTTGAGGCTCTTCATTGTTTTCATGATTTTGCAAACAGAATTTACTAGTTCTGAAGTAAGAGATGATACCAATCCTACATCCTAGAGTCAGTTCTGGAAAGCATTTTTCAAAGTGGTGTCTGTTTACAGCTTGTAATCTGCACTCCATATTCCATACCCTGTGTAATATTTATTTTGTATAGTATTAGATGTGCATTCACCTTTTGAACCAGAAAAGAAATCTTGTTTGAAGAGAAATATTTATTTTTGCACTAATTACTATAGATATTAAAATCCAGAGGAACAGAAGATAGCTCTCTAATAGTGGCATGAAAATAACAGGATATGTAGAGAGAAGAGAATATACTTATATTCCAGGTTATAATATAACAGTTATGAGTGATTTACAGTTCATTGCAGGGCATTTCTGGTGTTCAGGAATGGAAGCAATTTTCAGAGTATCTCCTCAGCAGCTGGTGGTGGCCCAGCCCTTCCTAGCTGGAGCTGTTCAGTGCTGATAAAGTAAGTGAGGAATCTCAGGTTGTGTCTGCTGGATGGCTGTAGGTGCACAGAGGGCTCTTCTAACTCTTGGGAGTGCCTGCATTGGCCAAAGCCTCCTCCTGCCTGTGCTGCTGGAGATGTCACTTTGTGTGCAGGAGTTGGTGACAGGAGTGAAGGGCAGCAGTGCCTGGGCAGGAGCAGAGGCAGCTGGAGCTGCAGAAGCTCTGGGCAGATCTGGGTTTTACACCACAGCAGAGGTTTTACACCACAGGGGCTTGAGCAGCCACCAAAGGGCTCTGCCTTGAAAAAGGAGGGGAGGAGGCTGGAGAACAGAGAGCCTCCAGGTTCTCTTCCTGAATTGGTTACCAGATCCTCTTCCAGTGTGATTTTCATCCCCAGAATAGCCAGTCACTTGTAGAAATATCTGCTTTTGCTGCTGCCCAGTTGGTCACATAGTATTGCCCTGTGGCTGGATTTAGCTGGCACAGTGCCACATGGACCACTCCAACCTGAGGCTTCTTGTAAAAGACAGTGGCATTTTTATTTCATATCTAGGCTTCCATTCTCAGCTCCCATTTTTAAGAGACTATTTTTATTCTTGCCAACAAAAATTACAGAGAGGCACCAAATTCAATTTTTTCCCCTTTTGTGCTTAAATCAAGGCTTACAGAGAGTGGCAAGGCAGTTTGTCTCTGCAAATTATTCCAGTTCATGTTTGTTTGTGTTTGTTTTTTTTATTTACTGATTTTTTTTTCTATCAAATCATATCACAGGGTAGCCCGAGGTTACTGTGTTTTGTATTTTTCTCAAGTATGTACTGAGGATGAAGCAGTTTGGAAACAGCACAGGGAGCCTATGAAATCAGTGATCTCTAGTGTCTAGAATCCAGTCCTCAGCTTGTAAGAGAAGGACTAATTGTGTTAAGCACTGGAGCTGCAGTAGCCCAGGCTCCAGAGGGAGGACAAACAATAGACAAGCACTCTCAAGAAAAAGCATTTCTGATGTGCAGCCTGCATTAGCCTTATTGAAGAAATGTCAGAAAATGGGATTACTGTATTTTTTGCAAAACCTACCATTACTCATATAGCTATAAATCTGCAAAGATGAGGAAGAAAGCTAATCAAGTTGGCAGGTGAATTTACTGTTAAATGGGATTTTTTGGATTTATCAATAAAGATTGGAATGACTCCATTTGCTTTTCAAGCTTTCCATATATGCCATGAAATGTAGCTTTCTAAAACAGAGTAGGAGTGAAATACATTTCACTTACATTGGATGATTCTCATCTTAACCACTAAAAGATTGATATGCATGAATGAAATGTAGGTGTTGTTTGTCTTATTTAGGAGAGTTTCACTGGTGTAAAATGAGCAAGAAAGTATGAAAGCATCTGGGGTAATGATGAAAGCTGCAAGAGCAAAGGGCATGTCAGCAGAGCTGGGGAAGTCAGACAGGAATGGTGACTGAGTTAGCGGGAGGGTGAGAATGACTGAGCTTTGCTTAGCAAGGATCACACAGGTTGTAATTAGAACTATCTCAAGGCAAAAACAGCTACTGAGGTTTCATACACGACCTTTTTTTCTATCAGGTTTAGAACTACTTAATTAGAAAACAGTTTTGTTGAAAAAAAATCAGAATGATGCTTGGTATTTTCCATGAGCGTATGTAACTTTTAGTAGGAACACCTCATGGTCTACTGGGAACTGCTGTGGTAGAATTTCACCACCAGAATATTTTATTATTGTAACTAAACTACTAGATGGTTTCCTTTCCTGATTTACAAGAGATTAAATAAACTCTCATGTTTATTATTTTGTACTGCCTTTTATTCACAAACTGATCTTTCAGGCACCTTTGGCTGAAGCTGTAGTTTGCTTCACGTGCATCTACTTCAGTCACTCCTGAAAATATTCTTTCAAATCCATGATTTTGAAGTGGCTTCTTGTAGGTACTGAATTGGCAGTGTTGTTCAGGACTAACTTGTGTTGCTAATTGCAGCCTCATAATTACTTTTATCCCTCAAGTAAGATATGAAGCTTGTTACACTGTGTAGATCTACACACTGCAGACCAAGCCAGTCTTGCTGTCAGCTGTTTCAAGCTACGTACATTCTTTATGTATGTAATGGCATGAATATACAAATATATCAGGTGTGCTTATGGGTATACATTTTATTGCATTACAGATGATAGCTGGCACTCATCTGTGGTCACTGCTAGATTTGGCCAAGTCCAAACCAGAGGACAAGGTCAAAGTCATGTACTACTGAAACATATCTAACTGGATATGATCCGGTAGTGAAAAGTCAGTTGCATGTCACAGTCTTATTTCCTTAATCTGTTTGAGTTTAAAATTGTATCAGGACAATTTACTGTCTAACAGTAATATTTCAGAGTTAAGAAACATTTCCCTTCTAAAGGGCTGTCAGATTTCCTCTTTATGTGGATGTAAACCTAGAGCTGAAAATTGTGAAACAGCTGATGCTATTTATGAAGCTGTAATTGACGTACATGGATAGAAAGAAATAAATTTGACTGCTTAAGGCAAATTCTGTCTATACTTAAGGTAAATACTGATTAATTAGTTGCACAGCATTTGGGACAAGCTAATGGTGAAAACTATGCTAAAATATAGTCTCTTATTATTTAGGAAATAGTTCACCTAGCGAAAGAAAACTGCCACTGCTTAGTGAATTTAGTAGAGATATTGTCTAATGTAACAGCAAAAGCTGATACTTTCTATTCTTTCTCTTGCTCTGTATTACAAAAATTCTTGCAAGGTAATTAGACCCCAAGGCTTCTTGTTTTAATTAAGCACTAAGTTGGCATTTTTTTCCCTGCCTGCCACAGTGGTATCTCAGTTGTCATGACAAGAATAAGTCAGTGTATCATTGTGAATGCACTTGTATTCCTAATGAAGTTTATATTGCAAGCTGAGAATTTTGTACAACCTTTCTGGTCATTTTTATAATAGAGTGGTCAAATTCTTATGATGGTGTTCTGGATTGGTCCTGTTCTGGTGAAGTGTAAGTGATTTTTGCAGTGTTTGAGACAGACTTGCACATTTTCCCTGAATAGCTGTATTAAGAACAACCAGTGGCATATTTATGTCAACTCTGATTGTTGTGTCTTAATCTTGGAAACATGGATAGTAACCCTATTGTACCAGGGCTCCAGTCAGCATTTTATATTTTAAATAAAAGCTTAACTGTAGTAACTTTCTGGGTGAGACTTGTACTCTGATGCAAAAGCCTCCTGCATTCTTCATCATACTGACTTTCAGGAAGCTCCATTACTGGTGACAGGATGTGTTCCCTTCCATTAAAATTAGTTCTAACACGCAGGTATAGCCCTCCATTGTCAAGTGTAGCTCAGTTCTCTTAATTTTTATAGTAATAGCCAGATAACCTCAGAGGAAGTTGTTACACTTGGGAATGGTCTTAACTTATTTTTGCAACAATCAGAGACTGAAGGTGAGCAGGAGCTGTGGCAGCTGGCTGGGAGGGCCCGTGGTGGGGCAGTGACAGGGCTCTGAGGGCTCTCTGGAACAAGCCGAGTGCAGAGGCTCTACCAGCACTACCATTACCATGGGCATTGGACATATCCTCACAGGCTGAGTTAGTCTATTATGGGATAAACACCATGTAAAAAACCATGGGCCATAACCGCATTGTGGTTAAATTTGTATTTTATAAGGTTTGTAGATTTTTCTGGGGAAAAGCAGACTTTTGAATTCTGTAACTTCTGTGATAAAGATGCATGTATAACTAGAAAAAACCGTCTATGCTTACTTGATTATGAAGGAATAAATACTACTAATGCCAAATGTGTTGATGAACTTTTTTTTCTAAATTAGGAACTGATATTTGCAGTATTATTAGAAGGAACAGGCATGCTCTAGGTCTTTCTAAGACTTCTCTAAGACTTCCTAAAATGACAGGGCTCCAAAAGTTTAAGCTCCACCTCTACAGAGAGAAGCTCCAAAAATTGCAAGCATGACTTCAGACAGCTCTGGGTAAGGAGAACCCAGTTCTAGAGAGAATAGTCCAAGTTCATGGTGGATGAGACATCAGTACCTGAGAAGGAGCTGCAGTTTCAGCAGTGCCACCTTGATGAAACATTGGTATAGTCACAAGACCTGCAGTGATAAGCAGAGGTTTCTCAAGCTTAATCCCATTTGATTGACTAGAATGGGGGGTTGCTTTATTGGGTGAAGAAAAGAATTACTGAAGCTGCTTTTCAGAACTTCACTGTAGGACTTCACAAACAAAAACTATTTCTTGTCAAGAGAAAGGAAGAAGGACAAGAGAAAAAACTGTGTCCCTTCCTGGAGTCAAATCCTTGACCTTTAACTAAACCCTGAGTTTAATCCTGGAATGAGGGTAGTGGTATCTGGTATGACAAGCCTTAATTTAGCCACAACACAAGGCTTGCAACCCTGTATTGTACACTTCCTTAACTTGTCACACCAGGCATTAAAATACTGTTGCCATAACTTGCAGATAGTCCAATAACTTGTCATAGTCCAGGAGATCTTTAGGATGGGATCACCAATACTTACATTTTGGGGGGTCTCACCATTTTCTTCAGGGGGTGAGGGGAGAGCGCTGGCATTCCTTAATATACAGAGGAGAGGAAATCCCAAAAGAAAAAAGCACAACAGTCTTAGCCACATTAAATTCCCTTCAAAGTACAGGACAAATACTTATGCACAGTTGAGGTTGTAGATCCCTGTGTAGTTTTCCTGTCCATAAAGATCATATTCCTTGTACAGGATGTAATCTTTCAAGCAGTTTGGCAGTGGAAGGAAGGTCATGAAGACAGGACAGCGGAGACGCAGCCGGCCCATGCACGCCCGGATCTTCAGGCGGCAAAGGTGCTTCAGAGAGCGAGGATTTGCTAGAAAGGAGAAGCAAAATTTAAATGCTACCAAGCAAAAAGGCCCCAGTGCCAAACCAGCTTGTTTTCATTAAAAACATAAACAGATACTTACTTAAAATGAAATGGATATCTGGCCAGAGTTCCTGTTCTTTGAGAACTGCTTCGAGCTTCCAGCAAATCTTAACATGATCAACATAATCTAACATGACTCGCACTACTTTCCCAGACACATGCTTCAGCCAGGACAAGGTTATCACTTCACAGAACTGACAGGAATGAAACAGTTAGTAGGGTAATATTTGATACTGCAGTAAATTACTTCTGTCTCTGAGGAAAAGAACAGTTACTTGAGCAGGGTTTTAGAGGTTGCCACAGCTTGCCTAAGCCTGACTAGTAGAATCTAAAAATCTGAGAGATGGTTATTTTGTACTGGATCCAAAAATAAACTTAAGCAGCAGTATATTTGGGGACTTGATGCTTAAAAAGAAGTGCTATCACTCTTAAGTGGAATTTAGACTTGTGTCCCAGGTACTTAATAGGAGGATCCACCAGCCCAGTGCATGCATTATCCCCTTATCTTTCAGTTAAAGAAGGGTTTATTAGGTTCAAATGGACTTTACAAACTGTGAAACAATGACACTGATGAGTGTCTCCAGGAAGCTCTTTAGGTTTGCTAATTTCTGCTCAGCGCTCATCCCACCACCTCCAGGGGTCCTTTCAACACACTTCCAGTCTTGGTGTTCTGGTACAGGACAATGCAGAGAGCCAGCCTGCAAATCTCTGCTTTCACAGCATGGACAGCACTGCACTGGAGAGCCAGTCCCTTACTGATCATTAGCATAGCATCAGCTATATTTTCATAATTCAAAATTACTGTTTACGACATTTACGGTCATGAACTAGGCTTCATATCAACATCTGGTTAATTTTAAACTATTCCGCTCTTTATGTGTAAACTTTTTCTGACAGTGCATTAAGGCCCTTTCCATTTAGTTTTAGGAAGGCCACTGGCGGTAGGACAGCACTTACCATGGTGTCTTTGATGACGGTGGAGGTCCAGCCGTCCGTCACGTACTGGGAGTGGTCGCCGCTGCCCCGCGGGCAGTCGAAGCAGCGGTGCACGTCGTAGCCGTAGTTCAGCAGCATCCTCAGCATCACCTCATCCTTGAGGGCGTACTGCAGAGCTGAGGGGAAATGCGTGGTGTTCACGCGGCAGAAGTAGTTGACGTTGGCCCCGTGGCGGAGCAGCAGGTTCATTAACTCGTAGTTGCCCATTCTCAAGGCTATTTGGAGGCAGTTGATGGGATCTTGGTTTGTCAGCGCTCCGGCGCTGAGCAGCAGCTGCGTTGAGCAGATATCCCCGTTGGAAACAGCGAAGTACAGGGCTGATTTCCGGTGGTCGTCGTAGCCTTTGCGAACTCTCTGAGCCAGCATAAAATTGGCATCAAAACCCGACTGCAGGAGAAACTCAAGGCACTGAGGATGTGCTCCTGCTGCTGCTGAGTGAACTGGGCTTATCCCACTTTCTTTAATGGCAGAAAAATCAGTCACTGGAACTAAATATTTCAGAGCTCTGAAAAATTAAAACCATTAAAACCAGAAGCATCTCAGAATCTTAAACATTTTGTTTCACCTATCTCATCTTTGAATTTCTCTGTGTTGTTGGGCTTCAGGATTCATCATGACTGTTAGAATAGTCTTAATATACCAAATCAGTACCATGGCATGCATTGACTTGAATTGCTAACAGTGAAATTGTTAGCCAGCAATGGATACTGACTTTACATCTATTACACATAAAATATTATTTTATTATACTACTATTCATGAACAACCCATTCCTTGCTATAGGAATTAAAGATTCCTTTTCAATAGAAATTTTTCCTGAATGTTGAAAGCAACAGTGTTATTGCTTAACCTATAGGGATTAGGGAATTAATAGAATATGTATTATAGCATGAATACATATCATCTATAATGTAATATATACATCTAAGTTTAAATATAACAATATAATAATATATAATAATATACAGAAAATATTAATACAGAAATTAAGAATACTCAGGTGCTTGTTTCTCATTTGTTAGTTGTGATTTCAGCATAAATAGTAGTAGTCTTACTGTCTTTAAAATAGGGATTAGCCTTACTATCTATTTGTTTATTTAGTATATTCACCATTCACATTTCTCTGATAGGGTGGAGATGAGACATTGACCCAAAAAGAGTGACAATGTTCCAAGAACCTCAGCATCAGACTGGACAGTGTTACTACTTGTGACAAATGGGGAAATACCAGAGGGATTAAGATGTGCATCCTAAAATCAGGAAGATTTTATCCTAACTGGTCTCTTACATTCAGACACAGAACAGACATATTTACACAGTCAAAAATAATTCCTCGTACAAAGCTACAGATTTTCCATCTGCTTTGAATAAGGTAAAATTAGTAAAATTAATATTTCTGGTGTCACTATTATTTGATTTTAAGTACATTAACTCACAGAAAGTGTCCTCTATATGCAGCTCTGTGGATTGGCAAATGACCCGAGTGCTTTGGTACATTGGCATCAGCCCCATATTCTAGTAAAAGACTCACAGAGTCTGGATTTCCTCCTCCTGCTGCTTCAAACAATATAGAAGCACAGTCCATTGCCTGTGAAAGAACATCTGCACCTGGGGAGAAGCAGCAAGGATTTTCACAGTAGTCACTGTTAATATTCATCTGCAATTAATATCTCCAACCCCCCAGTGATATGGTATTTTGAATTCTATTCTCCACCAAACAGAACCACTGTGGGCATAAATCTTCATAATGGATCCTTGATTTTAGATGTGTTCATGTAATCCTTAGAACAAGAAGGTCCAAATTGCTTTGAACACAGTAAGAATTGTTCCTAGAACTGCACCAGCAGAATGTTTGGTTCTTATTCATCAAAACAATTGCTTTTTTACAAACAATGCATTTCAATTTTTTACTTTACAAAGAACAGACAGGTGTAACTGTAAACATGAGAGCACCCAGTATCCAAGAGTTCATGCAATCCAGTTCCAATGCTGCTGAACCATCACGTAAAATTCCCCACAATAAATATCTTGTCAAGTGATTATCTTGTGAAATCTTAGGTGATTTGTCTATGTGAGAAAATAATAGAGCATTTGAAAAAACAATTATAAGTACTCACTAAAATATTAATATATTATTTTAATATTATACAAATTGGTATTTATCAGGCCTTCACTACATCACAACAACCCTCAGTGCGGATGACGTTTAATTTTCTCTAGTAAGGTGAGCTACTTCTGCTGCTGTTTATGAAGGCATATCTGAAGCTTTCTCTTCCTATAAGGTCCTGTATAATAAAGCCTTACCTTTTTGCAGTAAGAGCTCCATAATTTCTGTATGTCCCATCTGTGCAGCCAGTGCTAGAGGTGTGAGCCCATATCCACTGCGGGGGTCAGGATCTGCCCCAGACTCCAGGAGCAGCTGTACCAGATCCTTCCTGCCCAGTCTGGCTGCCTCATGCAGAGCAGTTCTCTCATGGACGCAGCGCAAATTCACTCTGGCACCAGATCGCAGCAGCAAGGAGGCAATGTCATAGGAATCAAGTTTAATTGCTGTAGGACAGCAAACAAAGCATCAGACAAAGCATCAGGTGCTATTCGGTGCTACTCAGTGCTATTCTGTGCACTGTGGCTGCTCACTGTTCCTGGCAGTGCTATTAATGCAATGAGAAATGCCACCCTACACTGAAAAGTTTAACTCATCAGCAAGCCTGTTCTTTGCTTCCAGGACAGCACTAAGTATGCAAATGAATCCTTTCGTGGTAATCTCTCTTCCTGTAGATTTTTTTCTCTCTGTTGCATTTGGTAATGGAACAGAACACAGCTTTCCTTGCCACTAGATGGAGACCATACCCAGGGCCCTGGTGCTCAGAAGCTGCCACCAGAATTCTGTCTAATCTCCATGAGCAGTTATCACAATATGAAACAAAGCTTATAATGACTCTTTCATATGCCTTCTTAGCTTAATAAGCCTGAACTCTGAAGTCAGGAAGGATCTTAAAAGAGAAATTTGCATTAGCTCCAGTGGATGGAATGATTAGGCAACACCCTTCCCTCCTTCTCTCTTTGATCTTCCAGGCTGTGCAGGACAGCGAGTGTCCTTCAGCAGGACAGATTAAGCTGAGCAGCCTCATGTGCCACAACTGCTTGAACACCAGTGACAGCATTCTGTGACAGAAACTGTGATGTCCTATTATCTGTAACCTACTTGAGATAAATCCCATGCATCCCCTTCTTGGGGGATGGTGCATTTTAATGCCGTGCACTTCCAAAGTAAATAGGAGTTCTGTACATTTTTTTAAGCAGATGGTCCTGACTTGAACCTGCAGCCATTTTACAAGGATGGGCTGAGGGTCCTACACATGATTGGTAGGCCTTTTTCTCTTCCTATAACAACAGTTTTGAAAAAGAAACCACCTCTCCAATACAGAAAAATGTATGGGAAGAAACTTAAGAAACTTAAGAGTGCTCCTTTAGAATTAGGTAATGAGAAGACACTTTGCTTTTTTTTGGGTAGGATTCAGTGAGAATGAAGGCATCATAGCCCAGACTGAGGGAAGCAAAGGAAATGAACACAGAATTCTTTGGAAAAACATTTTGGCAAAATATAGTTCTTTAGAAATCATGAATTACAATCCTTGTGCATGATCAAATTAAAGTGGTATTCACACAAAGAATGTGGGTATGAGACTATACTAGGACTATAGTAGGTATGGGACCTTTTTCCTAAATTACAAAATATTAAAGAGAAGTGAACTGAGAATGTCAGCCTGTCTTCTTCACTGGTCATCCTTGGACTAATGCTGGCAGTGTCTAAATAGGGACAAACACCGCTTTGCACCCTACATACTGCAAATAAATCAGTATGGTTTGCTATAATTTTGGATAATTAAAACCAATTAGAATGGGTTTTTTGAGAAAAAAAGGCTGATGCAATGAAGGAGATACCATATGGGCAGAGAATATGAATGTTCTATGCCTGCATGAAAGGCACTAACAGCATGAAGAAGCAGAAGTGGAACCATTGCAGAAATGATGCCAAGGAAAGTAGAGGATGGCACTCTACACTTCATGGAGAAAGCTATTTGTCATCTGAGAAAAACAGACAGGGACAGACCTATTCAAAAGTAAAAAAGCCCTCTCAATGCTGAGATTAACATTTTTTTTCTCCTTATAGCAAAATATTTTAGGCATTGAAGTCAAATACGTCACCTTAAAACCTAAAATGTATAACTGTATCCTCACCTCATTCCCTCACCTCTCCACCCCTAAAAACCGTATTCACCTATAACTAAAGGAGAATCTCCCTCTTCATTTTTAACATTGGGATTGCAGCCATTGAGCAGGAGAAAGTGGACATTGTCCACAAAACAATTTCTTACTGCCACCAAGAGAGGTGTTTCTCCTTTTAGAGTGGACTGTTCCCACGTAATGTCACGGGAGGCTGAAATACAGAAAAGCAGAACACATTTGAAGTTGGATGATTCATCAAACTTTACTTTGTAAAACTTTTTGGTGGAAAACTAGAAGGACTTTGTACCTTTTAAAGTTATTTCAAGGATGTTCTTATTTAGCTGTGCTGCAGCTTCATGCACAGGAAGCCAGCCTTGCTGATCTGCTTCTTCAAAAGCAGAACTGTGCCTCACCAACTTCTTCAAGGCCTCCTCTTGGCCTGTCGTATTTTAGCATAGATACATATCCCATTACATATCATAAGACAAAATTCAGGCAACTAATACACTGAGTGTCATTTGTCCCACCAGTGTATCTTGCTCATTATGAAAGAAAGGCCTGGAGTTTTCCTCTAATTTTAGGAGATGAAGCACTGGAATTTTTGAAAGGGGTCACACCTGAGCCCATCCCACTTCCACGATCCTATCTAATAAAATGTCACTATCTAATAAGCTAGCTTTTGGATGTCTTGTTTTTAGTTTACTTACTTCTCCCAAGACTATATAAAGGAAAGCTGCACTTAAATCAGGTGATCAAACCCCCAAAGTGTAGGCATTGCTCAGCCATTCCCAGGGGTGTAGGCTTCGGGTGGTGTATTTGTACTTAACTGTCCGAATTGCTGCAATGATCTGCCCATGTTCTTTACTTGCAGTATACTGGAAACTGCACAAACAGAACAAGAATAAAATGAGAAGTAAAAATTCATGTGAAGCTAAGGATATGATTATACCTTACTTCAAATACTCTAATTTAGACAATATGTTAGGTTTTTCTAAGTTACATTAGTTTTGTGAGGGCTTAACACATTGAAACACTATTTTTGTTGGTCTTTCCCTGACACTGTAAATACTGATTTTTTCACACAAAGGCCAACAATTAAATGCATAAAGACGGGAAGCTCCCATACCAATCTACTTCTACACCACCTACTTATCTTCTTCACAAAGCCTTATACTCATTAACATATTGATGTGAAACATTACCTGAAAGTTTCATATGTTTCAAGATTTTTTTTCCAAGAAACTTTTTCAGGGAGAACTCAGACAAGTGAGCTACCAGTGCTTTCCAGTATCCATGGGACACAGTCAGCACAATAAAACTTAGGGAATTAAAAAACAAAAATAAGGTCTACAAAATGTTTACAGTAATGCCAGGAAAAAACCCAAAGTAGAAATAAGAACTTATTACCTTTCAATCTCTGTTGCACTGCCACTTGTTTCAAATTTATGCCTATCTTGTAAGCTTTCCTGAATAGCTCGCTGGGTAGAGATTTCCTCATCAGAATCACCATCAACCATATACACAGAATTATTCATGGCAAATCAGCACCACATGAATCACTTCTGTAGGGAAACACTTTTTTTAACTAGAAGCAGATGTTAAATCTTCAGGTTAGATCTGGAGTAATAGGAACAGCAAACACTGTGTCAGTATCAAGAGAAATGAAACACAGTTTAAAATAAATGACTACACTGTTATATGATTAAGCAGTCATGCTGTTCTTGGCAGATTCAAGATCTCAGCTGTTCTGCTAGGCTCAAACCTCTCTTCTGTTTTACCTTATCAAAACTCCCACTTCTGTCTTTCAAGAGAGCTGGCCTGAAAAAACAAAACAAAACAAAACTACAGGGCAAGGTAAAATAAAATAAATAAATAAAATTGAAAGCTAATAAATAACTTGGCAAAATGAATGAGCACAGGAAATTTAAGGAAGTTGTCAACATGCCAACTACAAAGCTTGAAATAATTCTAGAAACATCTTAAAGTTGGACAGCAGCAATTAATAGCAAATCTGCATAATTTAATTTGTTACCTGGTCCACCTAATGTGTGATTGTAAGGCCTTGCTCTGTAATTGCACATATAGCAAAAAAGAAAAATATATTAGCAACGTATACAGCAAGAAACTGTTAGTAACTGATTTTACTATGGCTCAATGATACATAAACTACTTTTTTCCTAAACATACTACTAATTTTCTTATGAATTGAGAAAATATACTGTGTTTCCTCACCTTCTGAAAGAGGGAAAATCTCTGCCTTTGAAGAAGTGATTATTAAGTTGAAAGTGACATTTTCAGGATTGTAAATAATCTCTGCAGAGCCCATGTCCATGAATAGCTCACTATAAATACCCGATCATAAGATACTCTGGGACTTTCTCCACGTTTCTTTCACACACGTCAGTTATGCTTAATAATCTGACCTGATAAGAGGTGCCAACAAAAGAAGGAATTAAAAGTCCAGTTTCCTTGTAAAAATACTTTTGAGTTTTGGAATTTCAGACCTATAGCAGTCAGTGTTACACTGTAAAAAGAAAATTCTTTAGTGCCGTTCTAGGAGAGCAAACTAAAGGGGGTCTTAGGAGCTTGCTTAAGAGTGAGACAGCAGAAAAAAAACCCAAAAACTTGAAACAATAAAAGTAAACAAAACCAAGCAATTCATCAAGCAAAACCTCTTTTTTTTTCTTAACTAAAAAAATAAATTTAAAAAAATATTACGTGTTCCTGACTGCTTAACCATAATTCACATTAATATAAATAAAAAAGCAATTGAAAAATAGAATTTTTAAAGGGAAAAGCAGTTTCAGAAAGACAGACTTACACTGGTTCAACACCCATTAAGCAGGGACAGATGCACCCAGTTGTAATAGTGATGGTAGAATGGAGTAAGTTTATGTGCTCAGTTATTCCTACTGTATTTTTTGGAGGGATCCATACACAGAACAGATGATGGCTGTATCTGAATGCAAGGTGGAAACAATTCTTTGCTAGATGAGACATAGAAAGAATGCCTGAATAATGCTTTTTAATTATTTTTAAAGAAAACAAAAGTGCAGAATCAAGTTTATTACCTAAAATATTTCTCTCAGAAAGCGCAGACTACTTTCATTTCACATGAAAATAGATTTTGTGATATTCAACTAATGCACAAAAAAGATGTTCACATTTTAATAACATCAGCAAGGGCTAAAATCCTAGTTGTATTGCTTACAGATTGTAAAGACGGTGACCATCATAACAATAATAATACATACTTCATACAAAAGCTTGAGGGTCAGAAAGTATTTGTATGCCCTCTCACAGTACAAAAACCTCCAGATGGTTCTTTTCCACACTAAGTTCCACTTGCTCTGTAAGCCAGCAGAGAGCAGAGGGTGTTGTGAAGGCTGACTGTGACTGTCCCATCAGTCATCCAGCTGGCACAGCAGGGCCACGCCTCTCTTGATCCAGTGCTGGACTGGCTGGTCCGTGTTGAGCCTCAGCGCGATGACGAAGTTTGTGGAGTGCCCAGTGGTGGACAGGACCCCTTTGCGCTCGCTCGTCTTGTACAGTGGGCAAACATAGGCATTGGACTTCTTTATGTCTGACTTTACATCTTCAAAAAAACCCCAAAATAATGCATTACATTCAGCAGATCTATTGGTAGGAGCATAATCTACATGCAAATGTTAAGTACTTACAGTAACATCTTTAAAGGTCAGTAAAAATGCGAAATTGTTTTGTGAGCAACATAATAAAATTAGCTGGTTTTTTCTTGTTGTGTTTTCTTGACTGGTTTGTTTTGCTCTTAAACCCAACTAATTTAGCTAAAATTTCTTTTCAGGACTTGATGCCTTCCTGTGATTCTATCAGCTTTGTAATACTCAAAGACACATTAAAATCTGAATAGTTACCTAGTTAATACATAGCTTATACATGAGTTTTTCACAGCTCTAGAAGAATTCTGGTCTAGTTGCCAGAGAACCTAACTGCAATTCAAGTCATCTGAGACCCAAGGACAGAACTCTGCAGGAACTCTTTGTATGCCCAGACTGCTTGCATGGAACTTGTGCAAAGCATAAAATCGTGCAGGTCTGAATTAATTCATACAATGTCAAGAGAAAGCACAAGCAGAGAAAGTGGCAAATTTTAATACTGCCTATTTGCTAACACTTAAGTTGCAGAAGTTGCAGTAGTAAGTTCTGATTTTGTGCATAAATAAAAACAGGGATTTATTCCACTCCATCAAAGAAAACAAGAGTTGTGAAAATTACATAACTAATAGGAAAGACAGCCATCACAGAGCTGAAAATAACCTAAGCAAACCCTGCTAAATCATATGAGGTAAAACACTCAGTTTCTGTAAATCTGTGAAAAGTTCTCTCAGTGATCTTCAGTAAAAAAGGAAACCACTTGCAATTTCTCATTGAATAGCTCACAAATCAGAGAAATCATACTCACTTGGCTTTATCCAAATGATTGGCATGGCATCAAAGAGCACCTTGGGATACTGCTCAGTTAGCATTCCCCTGGAGAAAGACAGCAATAAAGTAATTGTTTGTGGCTTGAGGGGTTTGGGGGATGTTTTTTGGTTGTTACTTGCTTGTTTGGTTTTTCTTCCCCATTTTCCATGCATGAAAGAGTACTTAATTTGGTGTATTATATCAATAATATGAAAGGTATCACTTAAATTATTTACACCAGTCTTGCTTGAGCACTGAAAAAAGCTTTCCAGAACCAGAGTAAAACATTTGGCTACTGACTTGGTCCTGTCCCAGCGAGCTCCATCTAAAAATAATCCGTGGATGTAAACACCGTCCTCTGGTGCAGTATCAGCAGTATCCTGAGGAATAACCTGCAGGAAATAAGTGTTCCAAGTCAAGTGTTCCAAGTTTTCCAAGTCTCATAGCTCTTTGCTTTTTGAGCTATTATGCCAGTTTTCAGACCAAACCAAACTGAAAATAATATAGTAACCCCTCCTTTTCAATGCCAGTGTTATATATATCTGTAGAGACAGCAGACTTCTCTGGGTTTGTTAATTACCTTTCTTGTAGGTTACAAAATGAGGCTTTAATCACACAGAAAAATATACACTGGACAGGCTGTTTTCTTGAGTGGAGTTCTAGGACCAGTGATAGAATTGCTTTCAATCACTTTGAGAATACATTTTCTACAGAGGTTATTTAGCCTGCCAGTCAGTTGCAAAATGAACCTTCCAGTTAGGATTTATTTACTACATCTCACCACAACATCAGGACTCAGAATAATAGAATATTAATTTCTAGTTTATCCATACCTCAAATTCATATCCTAGAAGGTCAATAGGGATCCTGTGCTTCCTGGCATAGTTTTGCATGGCTCCAGTTAGGAAAGCTTGAGTAAAATAGAATCCTGATAGCCAAAACACAGCAGGCTTCCCTAATTCATACCAGTCCTGGAGAGAGGAAAGCAATGCATTGAACAACCACAAAGAGAGGAATCCTATACTCTTTGACTATTTTCTACATAATTGTACTCAGAAAATCTAAACAAAGCCTATCACTCCTTTCCCAATAAAGGCAAATTATATGGAAAAGTAGATTGAACAATTGGCAGCACTGCCACTTGTACATTACCTGTAAAAACTTCAGCCTTGCTAGCAAATCAACAATGTAGCTCCCTAATGGTTTTAGACTTGGGTATGAATGCTGTGCCCACTTCTCAGGAACTTTTCCAATAAGGAGACTGCCAGACAGAGCCTCCAGGTCAGCATCCATAACAACCAGTCCTTTAATGGCTTTCTTCAGGTTAATGAGAGTAATGCGAATAGTTCGGATTAAACTAGAATTAAAAAACAAACAATTTTCACACATTCTGTATGATTTGTTAAACATGACTATGTCACTGGAAAAAAAGTAAAATAAGTGGATTATGGAGGCATCTATAGAACTTTTATAGCTTTTTTATCTATATATCTATATAGATATCTGCACAATAAGCCACATCTGTAAAGTCATGGATTTGTGCATTAGTGCAGATTTATTTAAGACTAGGAACACTAAGAAATTCTTTTGTTATCTCTGATATCCTGAATTTTTTTGTAAGAGGATAAATTTGAAACTCCAAATGTATCCACCATATTATATATGAAGGAAAAAGGTTTAGATTGCCAAAGAACCAAAGAAAAGGGTGTGCAATAAGGATAACTTGGAGACTAAGGCCAGAGAGCATTTGGGAGAATATTAAGCAGGAGACATGAAGAGAAAAATAGAAAAGAAGGAAGACAGAGAAAAACCAGAAAGAAGGAATGGACAGGTAGGTGAAGATAAGAAAGAAAATTAGGAAACAATGTCAAAAAAAGAGATTGAGGACCCAAGGAGAAAAATAAATTCAATTCCAGGCTTGTAGTCTTAGAAGAATAACTGTGAAAATTAGGCATAGGGGAAAAAAGCATTGGAAAAAGGAGGGAAAATTCAAACAGAAGCACATGAGAAAATTAAGAAACAAAATATCTCCATTACAGAAAACATTTCATAAACTGTAACTGTGCATCCAGAGTTTCTAATTCCTTTACTGTACACGTCAGAAATACGAGGAAAACAATATAAAATTAAGGTAATGATGGTGAAAGAGAAAGTGAAGTTAAAAATATATATTGTTTGAATTCTCTTTTCTCAGTACTTCCTCATACTCCCTTCTTTTCTCTTTCAGTTAATTTTGCCTGACATCTTGCCTATTATTTTTCCTGACATCTATCCTACACTCTGACTCTCCACAAGGAGCAAGGGTGTTTGGACTGCAGGTATCACTGCAGACAATTAGAACAAAAAAAAAATATTTCACACACCACAGGGCTTACAGAATATGATTTGTAAGAAATATTTTTCTGTGAATGGAATGATTTCTGGTAAATTTCATAAACCAGAACATTCTTACTGGTTAAATCTTTCCATTTCTTGCACCAGCACAGTGTTCATACTTTCTTCATATCTCACAGGATATTTCGTTAGGCAACTTTCAATGTCAAAATCCTTTGGAAGCTGTAAATGACAACACATTTGGAAATCATTCCATATATCATTATGATTTTACAGTAAAGGTGTGCAAATGTGAAAATTTGCAGAGCAATAGAAACCACTAAACTTTCTGATTAGTATCTTAGCAATACAGGATTCAGTAATTCAATCTAAATAGAAAAAATTGTGGGAGTTTAATGTTAATTTTTTAAAAAAACACCTGGAACTTTTAATATAATGACAATTTATTAGTATGTTTCTATTTATTACTTTTAAATTTGTTCATGTGAATGAATCAACTGTTCTTTCAAGTTCTCTTTATTCTGCTGTCTCTCTTTCTACTGTCTTCTGC